GGTCAGCAGTTGCTAGATGTCAAGAGAAACAGGTGCTACTTTGGTAGAAGCCATAGAAACAGATAAGCTAAGGTATGAGAATATGTCAGAGATAACCTGTGGTGATAAACATAAAAAGTCATCTGGCTGCTAGGAGTTTTACTCTTTCTCACTTTTCTGTAATAATAAACCATATGCTCCCAAGTGATCTCAGCATGTAGGTTTTCTTTCCTTGTAACCTCAAAGAGACTAACTCATACAACAAATCTCCCAGAATAGAGGAAAATTATATCGTCAGGCTTATCCTATGTGTTACCCATACAGGAGAAGACTGTGCATGCAAATGAAGTTGGTGAGGAATTTGCCATTCAACATTTCCCTGCAGTCCCCCTAGAAGTGGCTCACGGGAAATCTCTCAGTAGTTTGAGGCAGGTGTCCATCAGTTCTTTGCCAGACAAGAAATTTAAATGGCTCTGTCTGTTACCAAACCCAAGTCCAGCTGCCTGCCCTGTACAAAAACCCTGGTTTGGCTTGCCAAGATCTGTTACAGAACCAGGGCATTCAGGTCCTGGCTGAGGCTTGTCAAAATCTTGCTACCCTAGGACATTCAGCTCCTGGTTTAGGCTCACCAAAATCTTGTTACTGAACCCAAGTCCGTCTGCCTGCTCCATACAAAAACAAATAAAAGTCAAATGTTGGTGGAATAGGAAGTCAGATTTTATTCAGGAATACTTGTGACCTGAGGAGAAATGTTAGGCTAACCCATTTCTCCAGTAAACCTGAAGGAGAATGGCCAGACTAAAGCCATCTCAAAGACTCAGATTTACTGAGGGATTTTTCAAGAGGGGGATGCAGGAACGGAATGTGGGAAATGGAAAGCAGGAGGGAGGGGGACATGAGCTACGTGGGCTCTGTGCAAGGAGCCAGGTATAAGGTCTCGCCAGGGCTCCGTCTGATTTCTGTTCTCATCCTTGATGTTATCTCAGTGTGATGTTTGTTTTTGATTTGCTTCAGGGTGGAATCAGCATAGCTTTATTGATGTCTTCCTTGGTTTCTTAGGGTCTGGATAGTAGCATCTCATGGCAAGTAGAAGCTTCAGGCTGACTAGAAAACAACTTTACATTTATATAAATAATGTCATTCCACCCTGTAACCAAGGTTCGAAATATCAAATAACCATGGGAAAAGAGAGAACTCAGAGAAATACATGCTAAGAAAAAAACCTGTGTCTTTTTAAAATTTGCCTACAGCCCAGGTGGTTTTAGGTCCCAATATGGCTTCAGTCCTGCTCACTCTAACATTCCTACTATGGTGTTCATAAAATAATGAAAGTCTGAAGATCACAGAACTGTGGCCCAACACCTAAGCAGGCAGTGTGTGGTCTGATGCAGGCAATATATACGTCAAGGCAAATCTCATCTGATTTACCAGACAAATTAATCCCGACAAAAAAATTCCCATGATAATAGAGTGTTATGAACTGAATTGTGTCCCCCCAAAATTCATATGTGACTATATTTGGAGGTAGGGCCTACAAGGAGGCAATTAAGGTTAAACAAGGTCATAAAGATGGGGTCCTGACACCACAGGATTAGAAACCAGAGAGCTTGCTTCAGCTCTTTTTTCATGCACACGCTTAGAGGTCATGAGGGCACATGGCAAGACAGTAGCTGCCTACAAGTCAAGAGAAGACACCCCAGGCCAGCACCTTGATCTTAGACTTTCCAGCCTTCAGGACTAGGAGAAAATAAATGTCTGTTGTTTAAGCCGCCCAGTCTATGGTATTTTGTTACAGCAGCCTGAGCTAAGACAAAGAGTTCGGTAGTCATCATTCCCCACTCCCCTGCAAGTATAAAAACCGTAAGCATAAGGGCCGGCCCGGTGGCGCACTGCTATAGTGCGCAACTTGGGAGCGTGGTGGTGCTCCCGCCGAGGGTTCGGATCCCACATACAGACCGGTTCCCGCTCACTGGCTGAGCGAGGCGCGGGAGCAACACCGAGGGTTGCGATCCCGTTGCCGGTCCCGGTCCGGTACGGGGGCGACACTGAGGGTTGCGATCCGTTGCCGGACACGGAAAAAGACAAAAGACAAAAGACCAAAAAAATAAAAATAAATAAATAAATAAATAAATAAAGTACGAGGGTGCTTCAAAAAGCTCATGGAAAAATAAAATTAAAAGATAATATGAATCTTTCCATGAACTTTTTGAAGTAC